TACGAACCATGTGACCCTGGGAGAGTTACTTAGACTCTCTGTGCTTTAGTCTTCTCATCTATAAAACAGGGATAATTGTGTTTCTACCTCATATACTCATTGTGTAGGTTACATGAGTTAATACACAGTTAAGTGCCTCCATGGCAACTGCTATCTCAGGGTGAGTGATTGTGACTTTTAGTGAGTCACAGAACTGCTGGGGGGACTTCTAGAAGTCATAAGGGACAGTTCCTCCTCCTTTGAAAACACACATATATCCTGATCGAGCCCCTGCAATTGTATGTAGAGAGAGATGTGTTTCTCCCAAGTGGCCAAGTTACTTAATTTCTCTGAGCCTCTGTTTCTTCAGAAATAAAATGGGATAATGAGCCTTATCTCACACTATGAAGAGGCAAACAGATAAAGCATGGGAAAGCACTGTCAACACTCAGTAACAGTAAAAATAATGACAACTTCCAAGTGCCTCCTCTCCACAAGGCACCTGAGGGTGCTTAATCTGTGTTTATGCCCCTGTGAGTTAGATGAGATGCTCCACTTACTACATGAGGACACCAAGCCCCAGAAATCACGTGACATACAGACCATCAGCCAGGGTTGAGCCCAGGTAGGCCGATCTCTAAAGCCTGGAGCTTGATTAGTTTTGTACAATTCTCCTTCCGGGACCAAGGGGCCTGAGCTGCAGCATCTGGGTACAGGTGCCCCAACCCCCAGGCATCCCCTCCCAGGCCTTTCCCTGGGTGAGGGGCTGCCCTTCAGTCACTCCCTTGTCCAGCCAAATGCGGGCGGATGGCTGGCGGCTTTGGTGCATGAGGCAGATGGACCTTCACAAAAGCCCCCGCACCTCTCCAAGCTGGTCCCCCCCACACGCCTGATTACTCCCCAATACCCAAGTTACCATTGATACAGTGGTGTCGGGTGATTCAATTAGTGCAGCCGGCATGAAGGCAACAGCACAAAGAGCTGGGGTAGTTAGAAACTCATTTTCTTTTGATTATTATAGCATCTCACACGTGGAAGCAGAAAATTATAGGCTCATGTGTCTTTGCTTAATATCCTCTGGGGCCAGATTTGTCGTCATGTTGAAGTTAGCTGTCAGAATTGACAAAATCATGCAGAGTTGATGGATTTACAGTGCCGGGGCCCAGCCAAGCCGGAGAAGTGCAGACTTACACAGAGACACAGACAGAGACACACACATAGACACAGCCACACACTCCCCTACACCCTGCAGACACAGATCAGCCCTGCTTTAAGATACTGATAGACACACTCACAGTGATTCGTGCACAGATACGCACACTCCTCACACGCTGAAACACGCCCATTCAGACCCACACAGAGACACACACATACTCCACACATACCCACACCATACAGACACACACGTACTCATACCTAGCACACTACTATACACTCACCAGTCTCACATCCCCCTGCACCAGTACACTCCTCCCAGACACACCCACACACACACCCTACATCCCATGTACTGAGAAGATACACAGTCATGCACACACTCACCCTCCATGCTGATAACCCCACCCTTCCAGATGCTGATACACCTAGACACCAACACACACTGTCGCACACCCACACAGGTGTATACAGATACACAGACACACTGCTGACTCATCCCCTCCCAGACACTCACCCCTCCACACTAATACACACTCACCTAGACACACTCAGATCTGCATACACCATGCATGTGCACCCATGCAGACACACTCAGATACACCCGTAGATGCTGACATACACACATTCAAACATACACACCTCGACAGACTCCAGTCCAGATGCACATGTACACAGACAAAATCCCCGGCTTCACACACACACATTCAGACCCATACAGAGATCCATGCAGAGACGGGGTGCACACACCCACACGCACGCAGAGCAGGAGACACACACAGCTACAGCATGCACAGGCGCCAAGTTAGAGGGATACGCTTCTACACAGGCCCAGATGCCCAACAAATACATCAGCACATCCATGGGGGACGGCAGAGAGACGGGGATGAGGCAGAGTCACAGATCCGTAAAACAGAGGAACGCATTCACAGAGACCTGGGGACACGGGTGCGGCTCCCAGCTTCCACCCCTGCAGCCCCCTTTTCTTTTCCCTTCTTTCTCCCTTCATCCTCATCCTCCACTGGCCTGGCTGGGAGGAAGAGATCCTGGGGAACTATATGGAAATGGAAATGCAGGTGAGGACTGGGGCGCCCCCGACCTCTCAGCCAGTATAGCCCAGCCCCTGGTTTCTGTTTGTTTGAGTGAATGGTAGCCAAAAGGGTCCTGGGGTGGGGTTGGTGATGAGGCGGTGTTGTGTGTTCAGAGGGGGAAGGGCTTGTACCTTCACTGAGCACCCATGACTGTCCCCGTTTTACAGAGCTAGAGACAGGCCCTCAGAAGGCCAGTTCCTCCCTGACAACACACAGGGTGCTTTCACAGCAATTAACTAAAGAAGCTCCTGGGCCGAGTGCACACTTTGATGAGTGGACAAGAGCTGCACACTCAGCTGCCACCGACACAGGATGGTTCTCGGAGGGGAATTCCTGGGAGAGGACAGGAAGGCTGGCTAGTGCTGGAAGGTTCCAGCCCACTGCCTCTCTTTGTAGAGCTCCCCACCCCTGCCCACCAATAGATAATGGGGCATCTGCTATGGGAGAGGGCTGGGGCCTGCACCCCAAGGTCTCCCAGGCAGAGGGACCAGACCCGCTGCTGTCTGTGTGGTGGGATAGTGGTGATGAGCAAAGACCAGACTCACACAGGCTTGGGCCCAGGCACGGCGCATCATTTGGAAAGCACTAGGTTACTGTTGGCGTCGCACCAGAGGAGAGGAGGAGCCCGTGGCAGCCCTGCCAAAGCCCCGAAGAGATGGGCTCTGATGAGTCCTAGAGCCTGTGAGCCTTGGCGTGGCCAACCTTCATTCCCTCAAAAGAGGAAAATCCTGCCCACGCTCCATGGCACACACATGAGACACCTCATCCCCTTCTTTCAGCAACCCTGTGAGGTTGGTCCTCTCATCCCTATTGGCCAAGGAGGAGCCTGTCAGATGCTCAGAGAGGTTCATGACTTGTTTGAGGTTACACAGCTCAGAAGAGCCAGGATTTCAACCCAGGGCTATTTGACTTCCAAGTCCTTGCTCACTCCCCTCCATCACCTGAGGCTGGCCTTCCTCTGGCATAGCAGCCAGGAGGGACCCCCTAGCTCAGTCAGGCCTTAGGGTCCAGGGCCAGCCACTCACTTCCCTGGAGAAGCTTAACCCCAGGGCCACTCCCCAGTGGGTAGGAGGCAATGGCTTGAGTTTGGGGGGGTCAGACCCAGCTGGATTCAAATCCCAACTCTACAACCTTGGGGGAAATCACTTTGCCTCTTTGAGCCTAACTTCCTCATCTGTCAAATGGGGATAAAAATAACTCCATTTAAGAGTCGGAGAGAACACATGTGCAGGGCTTAGTCCACAGCAGGTATTTCATACGCCAGAGCTGGTTTTTGTGGTTCAAGGCTCCCCAGCACATCTAGTGAGGTATCTTCAGCCCATTCCCATGCTGGGTTACCCATTTTCTGCTCTTCCCTGCCTCTTCCATAGCCACTGCCCTGGCCCCAGCCCAGGCCTCTGGCTTTTGAGGGTCTTGGGGCCTGGGTGTCCCTGGAGACTTGGAATAGATTCATGGACTTCTTAGGGTTCCAGGCAGGATTCAGGTCAGGGGTTCTCAATCCTGGCTGTGCATTAGAATCATTGAGTGGTGTTTTTTTTGTTTGTTTGTTTTTTTGTTTTTGTTTTTTTTAATTCCAGTGTTCAGGCTCTTCTTGCAAAGGTTCTAATTGAGTTGGTCTGGGGTGAGCCCCAGGCATTAATCCACATTTTATGTTCCCCAGCTGACTAGGGTGCAACCAGGGCTGAGAACCACAGAGCTGCTATGGCCGGGGGGACTGGCAGCATTGGCATCAGCTGGAGCTTCTTAGAAATCCAGAACCTGGCCAGGCACGGTGGCTCTCACCTGTAATCCCAGTAGTTTGGGAGGCCGAGGTGGGTGGATCACTTGAGCCCAGGAGTTAGAGACCAGTCTGGCCAACATGGAAAAACCCTGTCTTTCCAAAAGTTACAAAAATTTAGCCAGACACAGTGGTGTGTGTGCCTGTGGTCCCAGCTATAATACTTGGGAGGGTGGAATGGGGGGATCACCTGAGCCCAGGAGGTCAGGGCTGCAGTAAGCTGAGATTGCACCACTGCACTCCAGCCTGGGCAACAGTGAGAACTTCTCAAAAAAAAAAAAAAAAAAAATGCCGGGCACAGTGGCTCACGCCCGTAATCCCCATACTTTGGGAGGCCAAGGTGGGAGGATGACCTGAGGTCAGGAGTTCAAGACTAGCCTGGCCAACACAGTGAAACTCTGTCTCTACTAGAAATACAAAAATTAGCCAAGCGTGGTGGCGAGCACCTGTAATTCCAGCTATTTGAAAGGCTGAGGCACAAGAATCACTTGAACGCAGGAGGCAGAGGTTGTAGTGAGCTGAGATTACGCCATTGCACTCAGCTGGGGCAACAAGAGCGAAACTCTGTCTCAGAAAAAAAAAGGGCAGAACCTCACCCAGACCCCCCAGATCAGAGCCTGTGTCCATCCGAGGAGGATCTCCAGCGGCTTCATGCTCATATGAAAGCTCGAGTGGCCCTGCTGTGGCCCAGTCGGCTTCGATGGACACTGTGGGATCAAGGCTCCCGTTAGGATTTACTTCCGTGGTGACGCGTCCTCTTCTCCAGAGAGGACCATCAGGGGCTGGAACATCTCCGACCCACTGCTCTGAGGGGGATTCCTAGTGACCTCTGCTCCTCCTGCCTCCTCCATCTGGGTCTGGTCTTGGAGATATGCTAATCAGCATGGGAGTCTACCCTTCACATAATTATCATATATGAGGCACTCCTCATCTCGGGGTAATTTTCTCATCTGCATAATCGTCTTTGACTTCCTTACAGATGTAAAAAACCCCCTTACCTTGGGCGAGTTAATCTTCATTGATTGAATATCAAATTCCTTCGAATGTGGGAGAAGAGGCTTTGCTTTCCCAGCAGCAGAACGCTCTGAGGCCGAAAGCTGTGCTCAGCCGGAGGCCCAGGGACGTTCACTTTGGACGTTGCCCGGCTGGTCAGCGGCCCCTTCCGCTTCCCCTCTGACCGACCCACTTCCTCCGTGCTGCACCTTTCCACTTCCGCTTCTCTCCTGCTTGCTCTTTCTCCGTTTTGTCTTCGTCTTTCAGTCTCTGTTGTGTTCCTGAGTGTCTTGGTCTTTGGTTCTGGTTTTTGTTGTTGTTTTCTTGAGACAGGGTCTTGCTCTGTCGCCCAGGCTAGAGTGCAGTGACATGATCACAACTCACTGTAGCCTCAACCTCCTGGGCTCAAGCAATCCTCTCCCCTCAGCTGAGAGTAGCTGGGATTACAGGTGTGTGCCACCATGACCGGCTAAATTTCTGTGCTTTTTGGCCAGACGGGGTTTCACCATATTGCCCAGGCTGGTCTCAAAGTCCTGGGCTCAAGCAGTCTGCCCTCCTTGGCCTGCCAAAGTTCCTGGATTACAGGCGTGAGCCACCCTGCCTGGCCAGCTCCGCTTCCTTTCTTTCTTGGTCATCCCCTCCCTTCCCTATCTCTCCAAGTCTCAGACTCTCTCTTTACTTGAAACCCCAAGGGTCTCAGCTGTGTCCCCACTCACAACTTGGTGAAAGAAAAAAAAATCCAGCACAAACTCATTGCGGAAGCTGCTGAGACTCTTGGGAAGACGGAGGGTCTCAGCAGGGGTGGAGGTGGTGGTAGGAGGGAGGAGGAGAGGTTGTCCTGGGGCTGTGACGCCCTGGTTCCCAGGTCCTGGCTGGGACACCCATCCTCAGGTTAGAAAATATCAGACCTAACCAATAAGAAATGTTGTAGGTCTTCACAAAAACCATGTGAGTGATATTTTCCTATTTTACAAACAGGGATATGATCAACATATTCAAGTCCCTTGAGTAATGGCAGGATCAGGATTTGAACCCCGGCCTGTTTTACCCTGAAGACAGCCCATGATTATCCAGGAGGAGGCTCAGGCCAGGCCTTCTGTTCCCAGTAGGACTTGAAGCAGGTGAATGAGTCAGCTTAAGTCTAGAATCTGTCATTTCTCCTCAGTACTTTCCCCTGTCTCAAGAATGAGCCCTCAGAGGTCATCTGGGTTCAGGCCATGGGAGGAATTTTCAGGGACTTTAGACAAGAGAGGACACAGAATTCCTTCTCCCTCTGGGGCCCTGGGCTTGTATTACTTTGTTTTTGTTTTGAGACAAAATCTTGCTCTGTCACCCAGGCTGTAGTGCAGTGGCACAATCTTGGCTCACTGCAACTTCCCCTTCCTCGGTTCAAGAGATTCTTGTGACTAAGCCTCCCAAGTAACTGGGATTACAGGTATGCACCACCATGCCTGGCTAATTTTTATATTTTTTAAAAGTAGAAACAGAGTTTCACCATGTTGGCCAGGCTGCTCTTGAACTCCTGGCCTCAGGTGATCTACCTATTTTGGCCTCCCAAAGTGTTGGGATTACAGGCGTGAGCCCCCCACGCCAGGACTCACTTTGTCTTTGAAGGGCAGGAAACAGACTTTCCAGTTTCATCTCCGTGGAGGAAGTTATGCCTGAGGCTAAGCCCTGCAGAACTTGGCGCATACACTTTAGACTTTCTGGTTGTTTACCAGATTATCCATACATCTATGTTTTTGCTGAGCACCTTCTATGCTGTGACCACTTTGGAATGCACAGGTGATTTAAAAAAAAAAAAACAAACCGATGGGGCACAAGTCCAGTCCTGCAGGAGTCCACAGTCTGGTCAGAGAATTAGATATAGGAACAAATAATTACAATGCACTCTGATAATCACGTCTGTGGAGGTTTCTGTGGGTGCAACGTCCTCTGCTACAGAAAGGGAAGATTTCAGTGAGGAGGTCATATGGAAAATGGGTCTTGAAAGGTGAATAAACATTTTCTAAAGAGAAGAGCAGGATAGTGTTTGAGACTGTGGGTCAGCACGTGTAAACACCCACAGGTGTGAAGACCACGCTCTCAGGGAATAGAGCAGCTCTGTGATGGAACACAGTTTTAAAGGTCGGGGTGGGAGGTGGGACTGGAAAGGTGGTGGAACCCAGCTTGTGAAACGTCTTATAGCCCATGGCCAGGAGTTCGGGCTTTATTCTTCAGATGGAGGAAACCACTGAGAAGTTTGAACCAGGGCCGGGGGCAGTGGCTCACGCCTGTAATCCCAGCACTTTGGGAGGCTGAGGTGGGCAGATCACCTGAGGTCAGGAGTTTGAGACCAGCCTGGCCAACATGGCGAAACCCCAGCTGGGTGTGATGATGCATGACTATTAGTCCCAGCAACTCGGGAGGCTGAGGTATAAGAATTGCTTGAACCCAGAACACAGAGATTGTAGTGAGCCAAGAACGTCACTGCATTTCATCCTAGGCAATAGAGAAAGACTCTGTCTCAAAAAAAAAAAAAGTATGGACCAGGAGTGAATATATTGTTCTTTAAGTAAGCCTGGCTGCTGTAATAAGTAAACCCCCGCATTTCAGTGGCTTGTCCTAAAAGGTGTCTTTGTCACATACACAGCTGTCCAAAATGGGTGCTCCAGATTGCTGGGTCACTTCTTCCACATGCTGATTCAAGAGCCACCAGCTTCCTCTAGACAGCCCTCTCCTTGAGGGGTACTGTGGGGAAACAGAGGCACACAGGTTGGTGGACCTGGCTCCAGATCCTGGCTGTGCTATGCACTCAGTCCATTACCTTGAGCAGTTTACTTGACTTCCAAGCCGCAGTTTCCTCATCACTAAGATGGAGATGATAATGACACCTGGCTTACGTGATCATTTTGAGGGCTTAGCGGACTGTATGGCACAGAGAAAGTACTCAATAAATGCTAGGCAGTCTCCTGAGTGTTGTTGTTGTTGTTATTCAAAGCCAGGCTGGGATTCAAATCCTCGCTCAGATGCTCGAAATCGAAGTGACTTTAGACACAGGCTCTCTGGGCCTCAGTGGACTCATCTACAGAGTGGCGACAATAATCATAAAACTGCCTTGCAGGACTGCTGTAGGGATTAGAGTTCTGCAGACAGAAGACCTAGCACAGGGCCAAACACATCGCAGGAGCTCAGAAGATGTCAGCAATAGTTTTTGCGTTACCACTATCACGAATGTTATTACCATTGATGTTATTCTCGTTATTATAATGATCTCTGAATGCCCAGCATCTAGTAGATGCTTGGTAAATATCAAATCAGTGAATGAGTGACTACCTCTAGAAGCACTTTTATTCCTTCATTACAGGTCCTGGCTCCCTGACTTCATTTCTCCTATCTATTTTATGCAGGGTCTGCTTCATGGATGGACAGAGGAATGGTTAAGAGCTGGGCTCTGGAGGGAGCAAGATGTGGTTGTGTGTCCCTGCTCTGCCACCTGCTAGAGGGATGTAACCTCTCTGAGTCTCAGTCCCTCTATCTGTAGAATGGGATTCTCGACAGTGCATACCTCACGGGTTGTAGGAGGTGTATCCAAGCTGATGCTTATAATACAGCCCCCAGAGCCTGGCACCCGTAAGTGCTGTTTCTGTAAGCACTCAACAAAGGTGGTCTACCTTCCCTTCATTAGCATAGGACTTAGGCTGAGCCTATGGAGATGGGTGGGAGGTGGGGATGGGGATGGAGGTGGAGCAGGTTTCCCGCAGGAGCAGAGAGAGAAGGTGGGGCCAGGCTGTGAAGGCCTTGAATGCCAGGCTAGGTGGCTCTAACTGGGCCTTGCTTCCTCTCTCAGGATCCTGGAAAGGGGCCGTGGTCTGAGGGCTCCGCCTGCAGACCCTTTGAGACAGAGCAAGGCTAGGGCGCCATACAGGGGGAGGGACACATCTTCTCTGGACTCAGCTGTCTCCAGCTGGAGTGGTGGGGAAAGGAAGGTCATTTGCAATTCAGATCTGGGGCAGATGGGAGGATGGCATAGTTTGGTGGGGGGTGAGGGGGACACAAGTCAGCTGTCTCACTTCTCACGCACACCTCGACCAGCCCTTCCTAGCCTGGCTGCAGCCCCTCAGAGCACAACCCAGGCTCAGGCCAGTACCAACCCACTTAGACACATGCTCTCCGTGCTTTATGTAAGTGAACTGATAACCATATGAGGAAGATTATTTTACAGATAGAGAAAGTGAAGTCCAGAAAGGCAAAGCAACTTACCCAAGGTCACAGAGCAGAGCTGTGGCTCACTTCAGGCTGCCGGGCTTCAGAGCCCACGCCGCCTCCTGCATTGCACCATCAGAAAATAACTCCCAGTTGCAGCGCCTCCACCTCTGACCTAAAGCCTTGGGAGGATGTTGTGTGACGCTTGTTGGACACAGTGAGCCGAGTTTCTCCTATGAGCCGGCAGCTGGCCTGGGGTCTCCCCACTGTCTTCACAGTCCCTGCAGCTCCCCTGGGGCTGCTAGGCCACCTTCTCAGGAAAGTCACAGACCCAGGCCCCTCCCACTCTCTGGGTCTCCGAGTCTCTTGCTCCTCCTCTCCTCAGCTCCCCTGGGGCTGCTCCAGAACTGAGACTGCGCTGGCTGTGCCAGGTCAGCTACTGTGGGTCCTGCTCATCTTGCCCCTCCCAGCTTGCCCTCCCTGGGGCCGATCAGGGCACTCTCTGCCCACAGACTGATGTCCTGGGTGTCAGAGAAAGGCTGAGTCTCGGGAGAGGGCTGTGTCCTGAGGTGGTAAGGAGACCTCGGGACCATCAAAGGGGACCCAGGTGATAGATCAGGACGCAGGTGCAGGGACTCAGGGGCAGATGGACCCCCGGAAATGGTTAACCTAGGACAAAGCAGGTCAAATATCTGGGATGACTGCTTTGTCTCTCCTTTTTGACAGAGAGGAAGTAGTGGGGGTGAAGCACCCTCACACACATGCCCGTCACCCCCTCTCCAGCCACACTGTGGTCCTGGGGGGCAGGGACTGCTGGCTCCATCTTGCAGCAGAGAAAATGGTGATTCCAACAAGCCCCTTCTTGGCCAGTCTTTCTCCTTGATGGACACAATGCTCCATTCCCCATCCCCTCGCCCCTCTCCTTCCCCCATCCCCTGAGGGAGAA